GACTTAATATTAGCAATGATCTCATAGATGGACAGATTCATCGATATTTAACTCTTCGTAATTTACATATTCGAGTTAGATATGAATATTTTCTTTAAAATCTTCTTGAATATCTATCCAATCTTGAACTAATGTCATTTATATTTTATTTATTACACAGATCGAATGTTGAAAGATTGAAACAATCAAATGAAAATTGGTTTAATTAAGTAAAAACAAAAGAAGAGAAAAATAAATAGTTTTTATTTAATGAATTTCTCATAATAGTTTTTTTATTTTTTCAATTAATAAAAATAATTCGATTATTTTCAGATTACCGAAACTCGGATATTTTAGTTTAACAACTTTTATTGATCATCATTCGAAATTTATTTATTTGAAATGGATTATTAACAATTTAAATTATATTGAAAAAGTTCAAGTTCATCTCATAAATAATTTATTTATCGAAAGAAAATCAAGATCTATTATCGATGGAAATTTCATTGGTCAATATTATTTACATTATAGAATAATTTATTTAATTTATTTTCATTTTTATGTTTTTTTCAGAATCTGAATTATCATTAAATGATATAGAACAAATAAGAAATTCATTTAAAATTTATTTTTTTTTTTTATCGAATATCAATGGAGAAATGTTAAGTGTTTATTTAATCGAATAACATTCTCTCAACATCTTTTATTTTCTTTCTCTGATAGACTAGAACCTTCTCTTAATCGGATCTAAGATATCTAATTTTTATCAAAACTCCGAGAACCTATCAATTCAATTATATTCTTTTCTTTTTTTTTAGTAATCATTCAAATATTTTTATTTGGCGACATATTAACAAATATCTCTTTCACTTAGATCGATCAGTTTATTTATTTATTGAAGAATTCAATGATATATATATATATATTCTGATATTCGTTCTATTAAAGTATATAAAGGTAAATAAACTTTGTTATTTCAATCATTTTCTTGATCGTTGAAAGAGTAGAAAAGTGATTAATTAAACATATTGATATAATTTAATAATAATTGAATAATGTCTAATTACTGAAAATCGAATGATAGAGATAAATATAAATCATCATTTTGTTTTTTAATGGAAAGATCAGATGAAAAGGAAGATTCATCCTCAACATTGATCTCTCTCGTGTTCAGCTAAACTCAATAGAAAAGATGGTAAAATAATATTTAAAGTAAAGAAAATTTCTTATTTTTATAGACGAAAAGATCAACTTTGACTATTCTGATCTTCTGATGTGATTGAATAGTTTATCCAAAATGAAGGAATACAATAGAATTGATATGCCTCTTCGAAATCTTACAAAAATTCAATTTGGAACTTGAAAGCGTAAAGCAAATATTATCTACAGTTTCTTTTATAGTTTAAATGTTTCGTGGAACTATTTTCTCTATAATGATTGTTATGAAATGAATTTGTTAGTTTTTCTAGTATGATTAAATCTAATAATTATCCTTTCAATCGGAATTTTCCAGTCGCTAACAAAGAGACGATCATTTCTAATTCTAAATGAAAAACCATTGATGAAAAAAGGATTTCAATGATATCGATTTCAGTTATCAATATAAAAGCTCTATATTCGAATCCTGCTCACTGTTAAAATAGATCCTCTCTCTATCAAAAGATCATCATGTCTTAGGATACATATCCTTAAAAGATCCATCATTACTCTGCAAGTCACCATTTATATTTTGTTCTCTTCCGTTTCTACGTTCTTTTCTCTGTAAAATCAATTTTAAAACACATATTTCTCATTTAAGAGCGCACTTGGTCATTAACTATAAATAAATGAAAAAAAAAGATTCATATGAAATAGTTTGATGAGGAATTTAGTATTAATAGAAGAAAATAATGAGGAATATTGATTATTCAGATATTAATGGTAAAAATTTAAACGAAAAATATAATCAACGATTTCTAATTGTAAGAGATTTTTTTATTAAGATTAAAAACATCGGATTTGAAAAATTTCATTGTTTTAAATAAAATACGAAATAATTATACAATTTTATATCTTTTATCGATTCTAAGATAATAAAAAAAAAATAATTTATTTTAATATGTCTTTAGGTTGAGATTAATTTCAAATGATTGATGAAAAACTTAAAATACGTTGTTTAACGTTTTTAACCAGTTTGGAATTTCTTCATATTAGAAATTCTAATCGAACATTAGACTTTCATGCTATATATCGTTATATAAAAAAAGCTCAAGATATTTGTGGATATGATTTAGATGAACATCAATTTTATAAAAGATATTTCATTTAAATGTGAATATATATCATCAATTATCTATGAGGGTGTGGGTGTGGGGTGTGGGTGTGTGGGTGTGTGGGTGTGGGTGTGGGGTGTGGTGTGGGTGTGGATGGGGTGTGGGGGTGGGTGTGAGTTTTCTCTTAGTCTACACCCACACCCGCCATCGGATCCTGTCGTATGGTCGTAATACCGACAGAGTTCATCGAAAGTAACTGGGAATCTCATGACCAGGATTCCGATAGTCGGATTCAACTGAATACCAGCAAATTCTGACGGGATTATATCGATATTCGTTGAATTCCGACAAAATTCGAATCAGAATCTCGGTCATGGGATTGTTTGACATAAGAATGAATAAAGATTTCATATCGGCGCGATCAAAAGTTACAGAATTTCATCTCTTTTTATATTGTCACATGTACAGGTAACGTTGATTGAGTGACGATTCACTTGCTTCTAGACTGTTGGCGTTAGGGATAGGCAAAGTACCCTTTTTTGCAAATCAGAATCGCATTGGATTCGACAGTATGAATTTTTTATGGCATCAGAATCGCTGACTCCGATTCTAATTTGGAATCACTCAGTGAGTGATAAAAAAGTAATTGTAAATCACTTACATGGGCCATTGTACTGGACGTATCTTATGCTAATCAGAGCTAGAGGGTATGAGCATTTTTTTAGAACCATTAATTAACAACATTTGAACCCAGTTGATTCTATTTGAGCCCAATGAAATCCTTTTTGAGCTCAAAAAATGTTTTGTGTCTTTTGAGCCTGGCTCTCGCTTATTATAAGCCGGCTATAGTTTATTTAGTTTGAAAAATGAAAATAACATGGTTATACAGAAAAGAGTAGAAAAGAAAGAATATATATATAAAATTAAACATGAAAAGAGCAATAGTAAGTTGCATATTCATTACAACTCGTTTTCAGAATGAAACCAATGGAAAAAAACGATAAAATTGTATTCTCATCTTACCTGTGCAAGTCATTTCAGACGAATAACAGAACATGGTACTACATTTACATGTATCTCTTTGATCACAATCATGGTACAAGAAAAATATCGACGTATACGTATTTACAGAAAAAGTCATACATGAATGTATTATTAAGGAAAGGACAACGGATTTTCTTGTGAATAATAGTTCTCCTAGTTGAAAAGAAAAAAACAAAGAGGCATATCTTATCTAAAAGTGGTGTTCTTTTTGGGATGAATAGGACTTAATTTAACCCTTTGGGTCCGGGATTATTTTTATATAGCAAAAAGGACGGAGAACGGTTGATAGACAAATCGGCCCTATAAAAATTTTTTCATTCGAAACCACAACTATGTTATACCAAACGAAAGAGCTCGATGAGTTGAGCATTTCTTGTGACAGAACTTGGTCTTTTAAATGAAACCGTGAAGAGTTCTGAATGTGACAACGACTAAAATGACTGAAATTTTACAAGTTAGCTTACTCAGAACTCTTCATGGTTTCATTTAAAAGACTAAGTTTCGTCACAAAAAGTGCTCAACTCATTAAGCTCTTTCGTTTGATATAATATAGTTGTGGTTTCGAATGAAAAAATTTTTATATGGCCGATTTGTCTATCAACCGTTCCCCGTCCTTTTTGCTATATAAAAATAATCCAGTACTCAAAGAATTAAGAGACAACCAATAATCATAAGTAAGTATAGATAATCTTAACGCACAAATATCCTAAACATAAATCTCCATGCAATTCATATAATTAAATAATCAACAGACTGTGTTTTTTAAGTTATTCAGGCTCTGAAATCTCAGGACGCGAATTCGCGTCGCCCGGACGCAAAGGGTTAAGAAAGAATGTCTAATGAAAAACTTCTAGATATTACTTCGACTACAATAAATTTGTGAAAAGTGAATTAACTCAATCCATTCTTGAATAGTCAAAAACAGAACTATCTATCAAAGGGTAGTATGCTATCTTCTACTTCTTGTATTCTAGAATATTGCTTTAGTGTTGATTAGTTCTGTCTTTGCACTTATAGAACTCATTCTCATAGACAAAAGCAGTCCTATTGAAAACAATTTCATGCAATTATCGAATATTGCAACTAAAATTCCAAGCATGTTTTGATAGTATTACTCGCTTAGAAATTCTTGGAGAACAAAAAAGATGCAAGATAAAGTTGATGGTTAGAGATAATTATCATTCGGATTTTTTTTTCCAATTTAGAAACCTGATAAACATCATCAATCACTGTTTTCGAAAGAAGATATTTGTCGAATTAATCAATTTAAAACAATGGTGAGTGAGAATAAGTATGAGTTGCTATGATCTAGATTTCAATCAGTGCTCCATTTCTTGTTTTCTTGGCTTGGCTTGTTTTTCTTTGTTTCAAGTAAAGGAGGTACAACGAGATATATTCTGATAATACCTGCACTCGAAAACGATGTCTGATTTAGGTCAAAATATAGCGAAGATATTCAACCTTCTCTTTCTGGTAAAATGACTTTCGAACCGTCCTCTATTTTGTCGAAAATCTTTTGATACACTGCTTATTATTGATAAAGAATATCAAAAAAAAAAAAAACTCCACTGAACTACTAAAAGACCTCTCTGATTTTTTTTGATTCAGAATTATTTGCTTCTCATCAAGATAATTGATAAAATAAATCAAATAAGTTAAAACATTTATTTCATTTATCAAACGTTTTTTTTTAAAGAATAAATATAACGCTCATTAAAAAAAAAATTATTTCCATTGCAAATAGATATTGTCATATAAACGTTTAATTGTATAATCAAAAAGTAGTTTTTCACCATTAATCATTTTGTATAAGTTTTTAATCATTTTATCATCTGCTGCTTGAACATGAAAACATAATAAACGAAGATGATCATTACATTCATTATTAATTTTATTCAAAATATTTCGTACAAATAATTCAACATTCATATTATTTATTCCGATTTTGAGATGTTTCATATAAGGACAAAGTACCATAAGAAAATAAACTTCTGTAATGTCAATCATCTTCTCCAAATACACATTTGTAATTTTACTTGTTTCTTCCATTGAAGAACAAATATCAACTTCATCTTCACATAAATCTCTTGGTTCTGATAATGATAAAGAATGAATTTTTAATGAATTCAATTCAGGTAATAAATCAATTATTTGAATTAATATACCAATAAAAATCTTTTTGTTTGGAATTTCAAGATAATAAATTTGACCTATAGATAAAATACGATTGATACTGATAATAAATAATTCAAAACATTCATCAGAAGGAACCAATGTAATAGTTAATTGATTATATTTCAAAAATTCAATAGAATAATTAATATTTTTATATTGTGCATCATGTTCATACCATCGTTGTCTGTATAAAAAAAAATAAAATAAGATAAATTATTCATAATAAGAACCTCTTCTCGATGTACCTGTATGGACAGACTGAATATATGATATCGTTATAAGAAATATCTACTTTAAATACCCATTTTCGTTCAATCCAAAATGACGAATTAAATTGATTTCGTTCGGCAAGGTATAATGGAAATTCACTATCATCACCATTATATTCATAATATTGAAAATAAAATTTTTCTAATTGAGGCCAATATTGTAAAATTAATTTTTCCCATCGATTAGCATCCAGATAAGTAATATCTTCATGTAGAATAATAATCGATAAAAAATTTACTTTCGAATATAATTTACTAATAAATGTTTCAAATTTATCAAACGTTTTCACCCATGTACATATAGAAACATGTGTTAAATTTGATAGTGTAATTGGTAAAATAATTCCAATATTTATATCATTTCCGACTAAATCCATATAATTGAGACGTTCAAGTTGAGGTGTATAAGATAATATAGCATGTAGTTGGCTAGCAGTACAAAAATGATCAATAACAAGGTATTTAATTGTACTGAATTGTTTATTGTTTGATATAGGAAATGAGATTGATAAATCTAAATTTTCTGCTGAGAATTTGTAATATTTCAATACGGGTAAAGCAAGAACAATTCGATAAGTATCAGTTAAATCTTTTGAACTATTGAATTTGTTAATAGTTAATGAAAAAAGACGTGGTAAAGAAGATAAATTAAAAATAACTGACGAAAGTACATTTGAATCAAGTTGACTAAGAGTAAGTGATTCGAGATGATCAAGTGATGAATCGATGGAAAACAACGAAAAGAAATGTTTGTTCTGTAATGGTATATATAAATCAATTGAAAATATTTGATGCTTGTTAAGAAGTATAATTTGTTTATAGATATTCATAGATGATTCATTAGATTGTGTATGAACTTTTATTTTAAATAGAAGAGATGAAGAATTGAGTAGTTGTTGAAAACGATAATTAAGATTTGAAAATGAATTGTATATATCAATACCATGAAGATAATCAAATATTTCATAAAAAAATTCGTTGGACAAATTTTCAATCAAAGTGACTGGCATCCTATACGAAAATCAAAAATATGAGCATTAGACTCTTTAATAACTTACGTTTCTGGAATATTGTGAACTTTACGTACTAATTTCTTTGTTTCTTTTTTAGAAGACCGATTAGAACTTAATTTTTGTTCAACTTGGCTCATATCTCTTTTTTTTCAAAATTCAATATGATCTAAAAGAAAAGGTATGAATGATTCACATATATGTTCTCTGTTGACGAAACAGAATGACTGAATATGTATGTAGTTAACTGACGAAGTATGATCATGTTCTATTCTTTGTTTTCCTTTCTATACAGATACATCTAATGAATCATCGATTATTCTTTTCTTTAGTATGTGTCGAATATAAAATCATCATTGAATGGATTTATAGTTGGATAAGGTAGATAACCATTCTCTTTTTACTCTGAATTAATAAAACGTGATCGACAATCAATGACAAAAGAAGAATACATTGCATAAAAAATAATTCAATCTGACTTTTTTGCTGATAACTTGAGTTTTACCAACATATCGTAATTATCTTATTTTTCGATGTTTATTTGAGAATATAAACGAGTATTTTCACTTCTTTTTTTATTTATATATGAACAAAATTTAATAATCCATCTAGATGCAAATCTATTCACAATAAAGGAAAATAGAGATAAAAATCTCTTGAATGAACAATTCCTTCATTAATTATAAGACGTTTCACTTTTGCACAATTAACTCTTGTTGCATTACTTGTGACATTTTCTGTTATAATTCTCAAATGTTCATATTGGATTTCAAGGTGATTGAGACATGGAAGATGTGTATTTGTATTGAGAAGAAATTGTTCAACATAATCGATATGAGCATATTCGAGATTAAGTTGAAAAAGATGAGAAAATTCGATGATTGAAGATATTTGTTTATGATCGCGCGATTGCCGCACTCGTTTCTCTTTCTGTTCTATTGTATTGAATATAGTCATGCTATTAAGTAATGGAAACGAATAAGAAGGGTATGGGTGTGGGTGTGTAGGCTTTCAATTAGACAGATCGACACCCACACCCACACCCACACCAGAGCTTTGGCGATAATAAATTGGACATATGAGATTGCCTTAAGCAATAGAAAAAAAATTATTTGATTGTAAGATACCTAAATGACAAAATTCTCCTGAACGTGTTTTTCATACGAGAAAGAAGATGTATGAATCATAACTGCAAGAGATATGGACTTGTTACAGTGTGTTCTTATAACATGTATGTATTTCGATTGTGCTAAAAATCTGTATCATATAAATTGACAGAAATGATAAGGCTAAAATTCGTTTGATGTCAGAAGTATTTTACTTTCTCTCATGAAATAATCGTTCGTGTAATAAAATTTTATTATCCATCGAATTGGAAAGTATATTCAGTATTGAACGAATTAGCTCTATTTTGGGGTGGGGTGTGGGTGTGAGTATGGGAGTGTGGGTGTGGGTATGATGTGAGGGTGTGGGTGTGGGGTGTGGGTATGGATGTGGGTGTGGGTGTGGGTGGGTGTGGGTGGGTGTGGGTGGGTGTGGGTGGGTGTGGTTCTTCTCTTAACCCACAACCCACACCCACACCTCACACCCATATCCACACCCACCACCCACACCCACATCCACACCCACCACCCGCATCCACCCACACCCCACACCCGCATCCACCCACACCCTCACCCAACTTTGAATTATATTTCTAAATCTTGAAACAAGTACACATCATGCAATATATAATGTTTCTCTAATAATATCTGCTCAGTATATCTTGTTCTTCATTCTATCATTTCAAGTTGAACAATGTCAGCAAGTTGCTAGTCAAACATAGCACTGCATTTATCGATCTTAAATTGTCATGAAAACAAGTTCAAAGAATTTTAGCTGTCACATTTATAGAGCTGGGATAGAGCAAACTTTCTTGTTAATAGAAAAGCGAAAAATTGTTGTACGAAATCAACATGATCTATTTAAGATAATAGTAGAAATAGAGAATATTCTAGCTAATGATAAACTTCAAGTTCAAGTAAACTGTCAAAATTCTTCAACCAAACTCTATGTAATATGAGACGTGGCCAAAGCTGCAAATTCAGATGCGTTTAAGTTTCTCGAATAAAACACAAAATTATCTATATATCCATACATCTTCGTATAATTAAAAGCTGGAATTCTAGCAAAACATTTCATTTGTTCAAAATTGTCAGGCTTGTTCGGATCAGAATCATTCAAGTATGCGCTTCCAATAGTGACAGAGAATCGTGATTCATCAGATATGATCGAGGAGAAACGTCGATTCGTATCATTAGCAATCAGTTTGCCGTTTTGATAAAAATAATATGTTTGTGGACTTTCGTATGCTACACCAATATGAACCCAAGTGTTATTTTCTATGAATGAACCATTAACATTGACTATATCGAAGTTGTCCGGGAAAAAATATCCTAAAGTCTGATTATCCGAGTAAACATGTATACTCATGATGCATGTGTAGCTGGTTGATAATACTGCAGAGATCGAAGATGTTAGCTGTAGGACAGCTATAGCACTATTAGCTTTCTCCGATTTCTCTATTTGTAAACGAAGCCAGAAAGCTATCGAATATTTATAAGCATTTGAGTACAGTAGAGTGAATCCAGACGATTGAAAATATGAATCACTATCATTAAAAAGAAGATTAGTCTGATTGTTCAACAACGATCGATAGACATGTTGACTGCGTGCTCGAATATTATTTGGACCCCAACCAGCATTGATATCATCGTTATCGAACTTGTATTGACAAAGTACGGTTGCTTCATAAAGAAGTACACTGGCATTTTTCACTGCATAAAAAACAGCCAAACTATCAATGAGACCATAGAATGGTAGCGCCTTCGTCACTGCATTTAATCCAATATAGGACAATTTTGTTTGATTCACTCGTGGCAAGATTTCATAAATCAAATTTACAATTTTTCTTTCAATTTCGATACCATTGAAATAGAAAATAGCCAATCCAGTTCGATGATCAAATGCGAACGCTACATGGATCCAACAAGATTGACAAATATTTTTCTGAACAGAAACAGAGACTTCCTGCAGTATAGTTGCATTATTCCAATTTAAAACCGCAATGTTAATAGTTGTATCAGTGATGATAAAGCTGATACATATTGAATTGAAGTTATTACAATCGCTTAAAATAGTTTTTGTCAAATAGCCAGCTATTAAAAGCCAAGAAGACACTGTGAAGCTTGTGTTGAATGTTAAATTTAATGAGCGAGGAAGAATAACGTATTGATATTGGTCCCTATTCAAATACAACGCCTGACCTTGTCCGGAAAAGTCAGGTGAAACAGTTGCAGAACCATTTACAAATGTACCATTGTACAAACCGGTCAAATCTTCTCGAGCATCACCACAATCAAATGACCAAAAATAATCCATTAGCAAGTTCGGTCTTTGAGGCCAACATACTAAATAAATGAGTAATTATTATCAAAAGACAGAAACAAAGGCAAGACCACACGTCTTGTTAGATCTTGAAATTTCGATAGACGAAGGATGTTTCTTTTGAAAGAACTACTTTCTGAAGAATAGTTTCGCTAGACTTGTATGCGCATCCAAGATTTTCTGCTTACAGTCTGATGATAAAGATTTCTGGTCATAGTGTCCATCTTTTCTACTCATGTAGCATTATTATCTAGAACTCAAAGACAAATTCTAAAGGTTTCTTTACAATAAGCTTCCACTTGTAAGAGTGAATATTGAACCAGTAAATATCCCTTAGACTTAAAAAGTCAAAAAAAAAATCATAAATCACTCTGATGAATTTTATTTTAAAAAAAATTTAATGAGACGAATGCAATGAATTAGGAATACATTGATTTTTAAGTTCGTTTTATCATTTTAATGCAATTTTTTTGATTTTTCAAATCTTTGAGTTAGATGATATTCATCAACAATCAATCATCTTTAGTTAATTCTAATAATAGGATCAAGTACACTGGTGTTCTAAATGCTTCCTTATTTATGATTATTTTCGGAAAAAATTGTAAGTGTTCGTCAATGGTTGAATCATATCTACTCTAAGAGGATGACATATTTCCAATGGATCGCTCATAGAAGATTTCCAGCAGATTCAGAGTGAGATGTTATTTCAATGAGTTTCTAGCTTCTTATAATGCGTCAACTTCTCAACATTTTACTAGTTCAGATTAGCAACAAAAGGCGAACATTTTCGAGACGAAAATTAATGCAACATACGGGAAGGAGGTGGTGGTCGTCTTGAACCAAGTACTGCACCAACAATCACCCCAACAATACAGATTATGATGAGTAGAGCTAATTCAAGCATTGTTCGTCTGTTCTTGTACCAAGGTTTTTTCTTATTCTCAGGCGGATAGAGAAGGGCTCCTAAAAAAAACAAATTCAAATATTTGTTCATAAATTTCTTGCTCTCTCTCTCTCAAATTTGCCTTCAAATGGAAGTTCGAGAAGAGTTTCGTTCGGTTTTATTTGCTTCAAATGAATGATATAAAGATCAGTTGCGGGACTAAACTGTGATTGAACTTCCATGCGTGTACCAGGCAAAAGAAGAATTTCATCTTCGGTAATGAAATGTGAATGAGCTTGCACTGTTCGACCATTGATTGCTTCGACCGAGAAAAGAGTTCTCTCACCTTCCAAACCTAGATACATATTATTTTCTAATACAGGCAGTGAACAAGTGCACGAGGAAAGTGCTCACCATGTCACAAGAGTGCCTGGTGGAAATTCAGCACTTAAATCTTTGACTACACCTCGCCAAACTGTTTGTGGTGGAATACAGGGTAACTTGACGAGAGCAGTCAAAAACAATTTCATATACTTGAAATAAGATCGAAGTTCTTCACGTGGAGCCGCTTTGAGAGTGTGATTAAGCATTGAATAGAGACTTCGATGAGGTTTTTTCCATTCAATGGTATAGAGACGAATGGCAGCACTCTCGTCCACAGTCAACCCATCGGGTGGCTCTTGCAGTGTTTCATTGAGCGCCAATTCTACGTAGAATGATAAGTTGTGAAGAATGTTGGACAACGGACTACATGCTTCATGAAGTGGTAACAAAGGTTCTGCAGCATATCCTATCACAGGCTCGAGATCCTCCTTGATGTCAGTGACATCATCGATCTCAATCAGCTAATTATTTCTTATTTCTGTCTGAACAGTAATTTTATTGATGTCTTCCACTGCTATAATCGCACTTGAACTTGTATCGAAGTTTGTAGACATGCATATGGAATCATTTTTGGCTTGGAAATCTAATGTCTGAACAGATTGCTGATCGTTTACCTGTTCACTATTACGCTCAATTATCGTATCGAACTTGTGATAATCAACTCCTGTGATTGACCTTCGTCGCTTCTTTCTATGACGCTGTTGCTTCTTAATTCTGCATGGCTGATAGTACTTAAACGAAAAAAAGCAAACACAAAAGCTTAACATTTCTTCTCAGACATAATGAATATGAAAAGTGTTTGAGAATGAAAAATTACAAACAAACAGAAATCAAGATAACGAATACCGATAAATGTACATAGACTGCTGCTGCGACAAGGTATGTCGCCTACTTTTTAAGACCTCTTCAAGAGAAGATCTGTCTTACGTTAGTTTATACCACGACAAAATGGACAATGTTTGAAATATTTTTCTCGAAGTAGTCATTTTTCAATAATCACATGTAATTATTAATTTGATGTCAGTAGAGACTTATGTATGGAGAAGTAGTAATTTTCAAACTTGATTAAGTATTCTTCGTTTTTTCTTAGCTGATGTAGTGATAGGGAGAGAAATTCCTATTACATTAGCAGATACTAAGTAATGGATAATGAGAAATTCGTCACCAATATCTTGATAGGAAAAAAATATTTCGATTAAATAATGATTTTTCACAGAACTTGTCCAACACTCTTCGAGGTCGAGAAATCCTAGTCAATCATCCGATCACAATAATTTCTGGTTATCGCAGGATTATTTCAGGGAAATAGTGTGTTTGCATAGAGAGAAATCAAGATAACGAATTTCTAGAAACTGAATGACAGATTCCAATTCCTCGATCTCGGGAACTTTTGAGCAAGATGTATAAAAAAAAATCATTATTTCACCCAAATACCTTTCTACTATCGACCTTTTAGGATGCCAGATTTTTCGTTATCCCTTACTTAGTATCTGATACTGTAATGATAATTTAATTCCCTTAGGATTAGTCCTGCATTGCATATCCAATGAATCACATCTAATCTCATTAGCTTTCATGGTGCTTTCTTTGTATTTTCTAGTCATTTATTAATGAAAATAATCCAATAAAGAATATTAAATGCTCTGTAACAGTGAAACAACGAAGAAAATTTTTTATGATAACTGAAGAACTGTAATTCTTCCCAAGTCTGGAACATAGAATTATCGTCAACTCCAATCTATTCAATGCATTTGAATAATACTCAAATAATAGCATCACTACATCAGCTAAGAAAAAACGAAGAATACTTAATCAAATTTGAAAATTACTACTTCTCCATACATAAGTCTCTGCTGACATTAAGGCCCCCCCCCCACTCAAAAATCGATCTCAGCCCAGGTACGT